ATTGCTGTCCTCAGTGTAGTTGCTCAGATTACAGATATTAGCATATATATTTAGTCAAAGTAAAATTTTTAAACAATAATTGCTACTTTAAAAATACTGAAATCAAGAGTGCAGTCATCTCAGCTATCCTGTCTGTATTATTACATCATTTTCCCTTCCTTTTTTCTCCTGTCTTTTCTCCTTTCTGTCATGTCAATCATTTATTCGTTATGTTCAGTTTCTTTTTGTTCTACTGTATCTATTGCATCTTCCAGATTTTATTTATTGGTTCAGGTTTTATACTAGGGAGACAATATGATGTTTACATATCTAGGTCTAGTTTATTTCATTTATGAATATAGACTCTAGTTTCATCCATTTACATATAAAAGCCTCAAGTTGATCTTTCTTTATAGCTGAGCAATACTCCTTCATATAAAAATACTACATCCTTTTATCCATTCCTTGGTTGATGGGCATTTGGATTGTTTCCAAGATTTAGCTAGACGAATTGTGCTGTTATAAACATGGGTGCACATATATTATGGTGGTATGATGTTTTCAGTTCTTTTGGAAAAATACCCAGAAGAAGAATGGCTGGGTTGAATGGGGTTTCCAATCTTAGTTTTGTTGATGAGTTTCCACACTGTTTTCCATAGTGGTTGATACCATCAAGACACCTCACAGATCTAGAGAAAACATTCCTAAAATTCACTTGGAAGCAGAAAAGTTCTAGAATATCAAAGGCAATCCTGGCCAACAAAGGCAAGGCAGGAGGCATTTCAGTCCCTGAATTTAAATTACACTACCAAGCTACTGTGACAAAATCAGCATGGTACTGGCAAGGAAGAGAAAAAAAGACCTGTAGATCAATGGAACAGAGTAGGAGACCCAGACACAGCTACAAACAGACTCAGCCACCTTCTTTTTGATAAAGGGGCCAAACATGTCTTTCTGGAAGAAAGATACCCTCTTTAATAAATGGTGCTAGAAAAACTGGTTCTACACATGCTGAAAATTAAAACTAGATCCAGGCCTATCACCATGCACTAAACTAAAGTCAAATTGAGTTAAAGACCTAAACATTAAAACAGAAACACTAAATCTATGGAAGAGAAAGATGATGGAAATCTTTTTTTTTTAATGTATTTGGTTGTTACAGTGTTTCACTACATAACTCAAACTCATAGTGATCCTCCTATTTTCAGCCTCATGAGCACTAGGATTATAGACATGCGCTACTATGCCTGGACTTGGTGGCCTGCTCAGCCCACCCTAGGGGTGGGACTGGCATGGCATGTGGTGCTGGGGACCATGGCCCTTGTACTTGCCTAAACAGGTGCTATAGTCTGTTGATCTATCTTGCCAGCCCTTTAGGTGGGAATCTTGAAGACATAAGGGTAAGTAGGCAGTTCATGAACAAAAATCAAACTGTGCCGGAAACACTTCAAAGAATCAATAACTTGGATTTCACATTATTGAGAAATTTCTGCACATCCAAAGAAATCAACAACACTGTGAAAAGACAACCCTCAAATTGGGAAAAAATCTTAACCAATAGTCATACAGACTATCTAGAAGATATAATGAACTAACTAACTAAATAAATAAATTAGGCCTCCAAAATTCAAAGACCCAGTCCGAAAATGGGCATCTGAGATGAATACACCTTTCTCAGAGGAAGAAATACAAATGCCAAATAAATATATGAAAACATGTTCCACAGCACTGATCATTCAAGAAATGCAAATTAAAACCACTCTGAGATACCATGTCGCTCTAGAAAGTATGGCTGTCATAAAGAAATACAGTAAGAAGAACAAATTCTGGAGTGGCTCAGAGAAGAAAGGAAAGAAAGGAAGCCTTCTCTACCTTTGGTGGAAATGTAGACTGGGATTTTCTTTAGTGCATAAAACTCACTTTCCCCAAACTAGGACATTTGGCTGGGAAAGAATTTGCTCCAGAATGACCATGATTTGAGATTTTTGTCATTTCTCCAATGTTTAAGAAATACTGCAGCCACATTTAATAGTGAACATAAAAAAAAAAAAATAGTGGACATGAACATTTCTCATTTAATGTATCACACACAGCAATTTATTTATTTATTTATTTATTTATTTATTTATTTATTTATTTATTGTGAGACAAGGTCCTGCTATATAGTTTGAACAGACCTTGAACTCACTATAAACTTTTTACAAGATGAATCTTCCTTTATAATATTTCAGTCAAGACCAGGCTGTCCTTGAATTCTCTGCAATCCTCCTGCCTCAGCCTCCTGCCTCAGCCTCCTGCCTCAGCCTTTTGGGATTAGAGGCATGTGCCATCGCACCTGGTTAATATGTTTAATTGCTTGGCAAATAAAAACTGTTTTCAGTTTGTAGTTTGAACATGATATGTCTTTCTTTTTTAAAAAAAAAGAAAAGGAAAGGAAATATCAGCTTTTAGGGTACAGTGAAGAAGGAAACATCTCATACCCAGATATTTGGTTACTTTTATTTATAACATGGGAATATTTAAAAAAATAAGAGCTGTTGAGAACCTACCCTTGTTAAGACTGCTGTGTTGAATGTGTAAGTACTGAACTGTCAATGAAATATGAGACATTTTACCCAGTGACATTTGAAATGATTCTCCTTGCAGGGGAAGCCTGTGGGAACACCTGATGCCGGCGCTTACTTCCGAGTGCTTGCGGAGCATGGAGTTGCTGCACTGTTTACAGCCCCAACTGCAATTAGAGCAATCCGTCAACAGGACCCCGGGGCGGCCCTGGGGAAGCAGTACTCTCTGCCAAGGTGAAGGGGGATGCACTGGGCGCAGCACATTAAAAGCAACAACCAACACGCGTAACTGTATTATATTATATTTTTTCTCCTACTGCACTATCTCTCTAGGAAGCGTCAAAAGAGTCTAAATGTTTTAGGGAACTGTGCTTCTAAGTTGAATTTTGGGGTAGTTAGACTGTATTTTAAAGATTTTTAAAATGTCCTGTCATGTTTCAGTGCAAATCCTAGCAAAACAGTTTTCTTCTTTGTCAGTTATGCTTTTATTTTCCTTCCAGAGGAAAATGCTACTTTTGACTTAAAATACATGTTATCTCAGCATCTAAGTGTCCTTTGAAAACAGAAGAATGGTTTCAATGGGGAAAATATTATTTGAATTCATGTATACAGATAAAATGTGAAAATTATAGTCCAAATTACATTTGTTGAAGGACCAAAGGAAACTATTTCACTCCTGCTTTGTAATAATGTGCTGTGCATAAGTGAGATATTTTTGTGCTAGTTTATTGACATCTATTCGGGCTTAATGACATGTATATTCAAAGATAATTACAGCAATTTGTATTGGTGAGGTAGCTTCCAACATCAGTTCCTACTGAACTTTTTGATGCAGGTCACAGCTAACACAAACTGAAAGAAGCAATTTTGTAATTTCTTCAAGTCACAAAGTGCGCTTGAATTTAAGTAGTTTAAATTTTTTAGGTCAATGCAAGTAAATTGGTATTTTAAATGATGTGACCCAAAGGAAGTAAGGTATACATTAGCCTTCAAACTGCAGACATAGCTTTCCGTTTGGGCCAGCCTGTTAGTTTTATCTTTTTCCTTTTCTATGTTTCAAAAAAATTTGAATTTATCTAAAATATGTTTATAGTTGTAAAAAAAAAAAAAAGCAGTCTTGGTAAAAAGTGTTCACAAGATGAGTCTTTCTTTATAATATTTTACTCATTCATTTTTTTTTGTTCCTCCAATCAGTATATTCCTATTTATTTTTCTCCACGTCAGCCCAAAGGACAGAAAAATTGATTTTGACAAAAATGTCATAGAACGTATAGAGTCTCCATACCTTGAGGCAATTCCAGGGATTTAGAGAAAACAGAGATTGAGGTTCCTACTTGTGTCTCTTTGCTGATAATGCAAACCGATCACAGGCCATGAAGTTGTGTTACAAGTAAGCTAAATCTCACATTTATTTCTAATATTTTCCCATTTGCCTATAGTTTTTAGATGATATACTCCCCACAAAAATGCTGAATTATAAAGCCAGTAAAATGAACACATGTAGCCATGCATATGAGATCTCAATATAAACAAAACAGCCACGGAGATAGCTCAGTGGCATAAACGCCTGTCTGACAAGTGCAAGGTCCCGAGTTCAATCTCTGGTACCGAAAAGAAAAAAAAAAAATCACTGGACATCAATGTAAACAAAACATAAGACATTCCCATCATTACAGCCCACTCTCTCAGGCACTTAAGTTATTCATGAGGATTCATGCATCTGGTTTTTAATTAACACATAGGAATATTTAAGTTATTTAGAACAGTTTAATTTTACACACCCTTTACGTAGTTGAGTACCATTCATAATAAATGAATACTGATGACTGCTATCTACTGCACACCATACTCTTTTGTTCTCATTTAATCATCACTGCATTATTTTAAGTAGAACTTGGGATAAGCCTCATTTTATGGAAGAGTAAAATTAGAATAATTCTTCAGAAAAAAACTAAAACAGACAATCTGACTAGAACACTTCCTCTTGACTAAGTAACATAAAGTATCCATTATTAAAGGACGAATTTAAGAAGTAATTTCAGACCCATGAGATAACTCAATGGTCTACGTGCCTGCCTGGCAAGCTCACTGCCTGCTGTGCAGGCCACACATGGTGCTGGCCACTGAAACTTGTAATCCCTGCCTTGGGAAGGCTGAGACAGGAGAATTACTATGAGTCTGAGCTGAGTAACAAGACCCTGTATCAAATAAATAGATAAATAGATGGATAGATGTGTGTATGTATGCATGGATGGATGGATGGATAGATGGATTTTTAAAAATTGAAAAAAGTAACTTGACCTAAGCATTTTGTCATTAATGAATTATGTTAAAGTGTGTGTGTGTGTGAGAGAGAGAGAGAGAGAGAGAGAGGTTGAAGACTGAACCCAAGAACTTCATCCTGAGCTATACCCTCAGGCTTTCTGAAATTTTACTTTGAGACAGGCCAGCCTGAGTTTCCCACCTGGGCCCAAGCCTACAGTCCTCTTATCTAAGCCTCCCTAATGCTGGATTACAGGCATGAGCCACCATGTTCAAGTTTTTCCATCTCTTCACTAACAGGTCCACTGAATTATCTTAATAAATCCTCACAGGCCCACCCAGAGTGGAACTAAAAAATGTTAAAGAAGAAAGAATGCACAAACCTAGAGAACTAAGATGTGCCATGTATTACCCACTCCCCACAATGCATTTATTCATTATGTACTGCAAGTATGTATCAAAATTAAAGAGAAAACACCTATATTATTTTCAAAACAAAGAAACTGAGATCCAAAAAATGTTAAGTTTGAATTAGAAGCTGAATAAAGACATCAAGTCTCTTCGTACAACACCGTTAGTACTAAATACATATTCAGGATATTTCACACTTCTTGAGTTAACATTCACTAGATATAGTCACAGTTTTACAATTTTCAGAGTTTGCTTTGTTCTAGAATATTTTATAGGGTGTTTTTATATGTATTTGTTTTCATATATACCTATAACATCACGTATGTATAACTCTATCTCTAATGACAGGAGATAGATGATAAATAGACAGACAGATCATTGTGATATTTTTCGAATATTTCAGCTCCCAACACAAATGTACAAGAATACTGTGATAAAAGAAGTATGCAAAACTATGAATTCATTTTAAGATATAGATAATTAGAATTTAGAAAACCGTTTTACAAGTGATTTAGTATAATTATCTCTTCACAAATGAGAAGTAAAATGCTAGACAAGTAAAATGACATTTCTAGGTTTATAGAGCTACTGTAAAGTTGGGCGCAAGCAGTAGCATAATTAGATTTTCCCTCTGGAGTTACACTCACTGGTTTTAAATCAACCATTTTATATTCATGTGACTTCAGAAAAGTTACCTAATTTCTTACTGTTCTTCAAGCTTTTTGTGCTGTTTTTGGCAAGATAAGGTTGGTAGTAGTACAACAATAAAATGAAAAAGTTAAAAGGACATGGTCCAAGCAAGCCACCTTAAAAATTTGAAATAGACTGAAACTTAATTATCTTTTGCTTTCTACTTCACCTTCTTTTTCATTGCATCAGAATGATTTATTTTCCCACTTTAATTAAGTTAGAAAAACTCAGTGCTGAGACTAGAAGATTTCATGGTACTTTAACTTTGATACCTTGAAATGTCAGAGATGGACGAAGAAGAAGGCAAGCATATCTGTGGACTAGAAAGGTAATAACTCCGCAAAGTGATGATGTTGTATGAAGTCAGAGGCTTGTTATGTACCAGTGAGCACTGGCACAGAATAAGAATGCAAGACCCTCCTGCCTTGACTGCAGGAGCAGAACCAGCTTAGAGCTGGAAGATAGGCCCAATGTTGCTCCTCCCCACATGATGAAGCTGGAGTACTTGTTCTCAGTTGCTTCCTGGGACTGTGTATTAAATAAAGCTTTGGTTCAGGGACCTGAATGAGATAGAGAACAGTCCTACAATTGGAGACTGACCTGACCTGCTTATCTGTTGTGTTGGAAGATATTCTGAGACATTCCAGATGTGTCTGTGGATAAGTAAATCTGGATCGTCACTTTAGCCCTGGATCTCTGGGGAAGAAATATGGCACTTATATATCTATTGGACAGAAAGGGGAAATGAGAGGAAGTCAGTGAGAGAGATGAAGCAAAGAACCACTCTTTAAAAAGACCCTGAAAAATACAACTCTACAACTCATGATGAAATCTAGTGCTTTATAGTGAGGATTCATTTAAGATGAAATTAATGGTATGTTGCAGTCATATCAACGTTTAAAATAAATATAAGCACTATGAAAGTAATAAAATAATAATGACATTTACATAATAGAATGGTTTATGAAAATAAATTAAAATGCAATGGACAATGTAAGCTAAATTAAATATATTGACATAATTAAGCTATTAAAAGTTATAAAATGGGGCCGGTCAAATAGCTCAGCAGATTAAAGTACATACAAGCAGGCGCAGGGGCCGGAGGCTTGATCCCTGGGACTGCCCTGCTGGCCCCGCCCCTGGTGCACGCTAAAATGACAACTGAGACTGGGTGTGGTAGTGCGCCTGTAGTCACAGATGTTGGGAGGCTGTAAATGGGAGAATCACTATGAGTCTGATCTAATAGTGAGACTCTGAATACCCTGTAGACCCTTCCCTATAATACAAAAAAAGGAAAAAAAAAAAACCAACTATACATGGATTCAGGGTAACTTTCCAGGATGCAGAACACAAGAGAGGACATAACAGGTAAAAAACAAAAAACAAAACAAAACAAAACAAAACAAAAAAAAACCCTTAACAAAAATTGAAAAAGAAAAAAAAAACTAAAAATGCTTCCAACAAGAATTTTAGAAGAAGAGAATGGCAAGATGGTTAAAATTCTTCAAAAAGTACATAGTTTGAACCAGTAATTAAGACTGTTAAGAGACTTGAAGGAAAAAATGAATCACAGATGGAAAGTGATATCCAAGCATCAAACAGAATAATTATCAGTAATTTCACTTTGGAATTGTCATTTTAAACTTCAGAACATCAGTTGAGACTATGAAAATATCCAGTAAACTACCAGAAAGACTTGAAAAATCACCAGAGATTTGCCATGCCAAACCAATACTAACAGAATGGAGTAACATCTTTAAAGTACTGAGGGAAGACTGTCAAACAAACAAACAAAATTTTTCAAAAGATAGGTCCAAGTAGAAAATAATATATGACCAGACTTAAAATGCAAAGACTTCTATAAAAGAAAA